GCTGCTTGCCAGCTGTGCGATTTGGGGCCGCTGGCTTCCGCTTCTCCCTGCCTCAGGATCTACTCCGTGGGGCTGCTGTACAGTGGAAAGATGCGTGGACTCCACGTGGTTAGAGCAGTGCCTGGCACAGAGTGGTGATGAAGAGAAGTTGGATCTGTAATTCTCCAGAAGCTTCCTCACTTAGGTGCTGATGTAGTGACAGAGGTCCTGGTGGTGATCAGCACCACGGTGGGCAGGTGCTTTACAGGGCATGGCCTTCATTCCCCAGCAACCCATAGTGCAGTGCTCTTTAAGGAACTGCTGTGAAGAGAGGGTGAAGAACTGGAAAAGCACCAACGATTTGAGGACTCTAGAGGCCTCTCTAAGTACTAAATGTTAAATTAAAAACCCGTTTAATAAGACTAGCTAACAGTCGAGCACATCCTGTGTGCCAGACCCTGTTGGAGGCATTTCATGTGTGCTAACTCATGTAATCCTCAGTTGGCCCTGAGAGAGGGGAACATTGTCACCCTTTCTTCATAGGTGGAAGACCCTGAGGCACAGAGAGCTTCAGCAACTTGCCCACACACAGCCACACACACACACAAGCACATACGTAGGCACACATGTGCACAGGCACATGCACACACAGGCAGAACTGGGATTTGAACCCAAGATTCTGGCTCCAGCATCTGTGTTCTTAGCTGCTGCACAGCATTTCTGCTAAGAGGAAGCTTATTCTTTACATTCAAAGCTCTCATTTGAATAACAACCACCACAACAAAAATCTAAGGTTTTTCTGTTTCTCCTAAAAATACTGATTTGCAAATCATTCTGCAAAGATTTCTGCAAAAGTAATTCTGCTTTTGTAGTTTTACAAATGAAGAGTTCTAGAGACAGTGATGCAACAATCACAATAAATATGTGCTGTCATATTTTTTGGCAGTATTGCAAGTTAAAATGAACCTGTCTCAGCTTTGAGTTATTATGATTATTGCCACTTTTTATTGCTACATTAATCACCAAACATACTGAGAGGGATTAATGAAGTTAATTGTTTTTAGAAACTAAATTAAATGCAAGTGCTAATGCTGGGTGACTGAGCCCTGACATTGTGTGCTTATTTCAGTGGAGGAGTGGACAGGCTGCTCTGCAGGAGCTGCGGAAGACTTGATCATTTCAAATGTCACCTTGACATTCATCATTAGTTTTCTTTGTAGTTAGTTGCACAGCTCTTTTTATTTTTACTTTATGAACACATCTGTGAGTTATAGTTTAAAAGTTTTACGTGTGCCAAGTTGAAAAGATTCAGAGATCATTTTTAAATGGGCATCTGTATTATTGGTTCATCCTGCCTTAACAAAATACCACAGACTGGGTGGCTTAAACCACAGACATTTATTTCTCCCAGCTTGGGAGGCCGAAGTCCACGATCAAGGTGTCGGCAGCCCTGCTTTCTCCTGAGGCCTCTCTCCTGGTCTTGCAGACGGCACTTTCTTGCTGTTTCCTCACAGGCCATTTCTTTGTGTGTGCACATCCCCGGTGTCTCTTTCTCTTATAAAGACACCATTTCTATTATATTAGAGCCCTACCTCAATTCCTTATTTTAACTTGATTATCTTTTAAAGACCCTCTGTCCAAATACAATTGCAATTTAAGGGTATGTCAGGACTTCAACGTATGAATTTTGGGGGTATACTATTCAGCCCATAATAGCATCTTTCATCAATTTCTGATGAGCATGGGAAAGAGGTGGGATAGAGCGGGGAGGAAAGTTAATTTTTAAAGAACATTTAGTGGGACAGTTCTTCTGAGCTCTTCCTTGGGCCCAAAACATTCATAACTCTGAGATCCTATGCTTCAAGAGAGTGGAAAATGACCCTAAGGTGTAGATAATTGTATTTTCAGTCTCCATTTCTGATTGGGAGGCCAACTATGTAGGCTGGGAAATCTTAGATCAAAAAGCTGCCTGCAAATGGTAGTTCTCTTCTGTTTTGTCTTTGGCTTTTTGCTTTTTTAAAAAAATTTGACCTTGAAGTGAAAGGAATTCCTAGAAACCCAAAACGAAGAAAGAACTGAAATTCAGACCTTTAGCATGAGAGGTGGGCCCACAGGAGGCAGGGAATAGCCAAGGCTGGATGCTCAGAGGCCACACCCCTGGGGAAAGGGTGGAAGAGGGAAACCTGCCCAGTGGCCCTGAGAGGGCCGGGAAGCCGGGCTGTGTCAGCCTGGGCTCTACATGGGGACAGAAGTCTCCTTGAGAATTTGTAAACAAAGGTTTGCGTTTACATGAGTTCTGTTCATATTTGCACTGTTTGGCAATTTGTCTTCTGAGAAATCTGCCTTGAAAAGGATTTTCAGACACCCATACTCCTGACTTGACAAAAACACATGTAGCATCTCCCCAGAGGGTTGCTGTCATCACAGGCCCCATAAGATCCTTACTGGTAAAGCCCAGTGAAGACAGATTCCTCCTCCACAGTCTCCCAGGACAAGAGCAAGAATCCACAGACAAAAACAGACAGCAGAATTAGACTCCAGAGGACTTTAGAAAATCAAATAATTGGATATATAACTAAAATGATTATATAAAGGAATTGAACGCACAAGAAAAGAATAAGACCCCATCAGATACAGACCTAGTGAATTTGAGACAAAAGCTCTAGATTTTTAAAAAATGATTAAAAATACAATGATTAAAAATCAATTGATGGGATATAGAGCATATTTTTGAGAGAATTACTGAACAGGATTCTGTTTCCTTCTGCCCCAAGTAGAATCTCCTTTCTGTTGATAAGAGGTGCAGGCAGCAGGGAGATGTTAGTTCTAAACCCAAGCCAGCAGAGGAATGGTTTAAACACAGTTCTTCATTTTCCTTGCTCTCTTTTGCCCTTTTCTAACAGCCAGCTGCTGGGGCAGTGCTGGTCCTGGGAGCAAATGTCACCATCTCCCTCCAGTCAGGGGCTGACAGAGTCTTCCAGGGAAATGGAAGACCAGTAAACCTGAAGCATGTAAGCCCCAGGCTGCCTCTCCCATTCTCCTTCCCGTTCATCAGCGGCATAAAGAAACTTGGCCTGGACTTTTGTGACTCAGCAGGGTCCACCCCAATTTAAAATGCCAGAGGACATGGTGTGGCAAGTTGACTGTATCATGATGTTAGCCATCTTGTGGCAGAGACTTGAAGGGTAAAGCTCAGTAAGGCCTGCACCCAGAGCCTCAGGGGCCAATGACTGCAAGGAAAACAGCCCTGCTTTCTAGCCAGCACCCCACTCTCCCGAACACCTCTCTCTCCACAGTCTGAGGAGGTTTATCTCCTTTCTGCAGATGAAGCAGGGAGTCTTTGAGAATCTGAGACTCTAGTCTGAGACCACATAGCTAAGGGCGTGGAGGAACGTGCTGACCCCAAAACACATGCTGGTGGCTACCATGTGAGGCTGGCTTTTTGATATAGGGCCAGCCAGCTTTTCCAAATTCTGTTCCATGGAACACTGTGGTCTTGATGGAGGATAACTGGTATTATACCAAAAAAAAAAAAAAAAAAGTTGTGTGGTCAGATAGGCTGGGGAGAGCCGGCATGCTCTATGCCTGCCGTAAGTCTTCCTCATGCAGGGTAGCACACTAAGGGCCAAGAAGGTCTCCCTTGGGGAAACCTATTTAATTTTGTTCAACCTAGCGTTTCCCACTCTTATTAGATCCTAGGTCACCCTACCCCTTACAACACAGTATTAACATATTAACCATAAAGGAATTGCAAATCAAACCACAATAAGAGACCACATCACACCCATTAGGATGGCTATAATTAAAAAGACACACAATAGCAAGTGTTGGGAACATGTGGAGAATTGGAACCCACACACTGGTGGGAATGTGAAATAGTGTGGAGGCTTTGGAAGACAGCTTGGTGGTTTTCAGAAGGATAAATTCAGAGTTACCATGTGGCCTGGCAGTTCCATTTCTCGGTATATACTCAAGGAAATGAAAACATATGTCCATACAAAAACTTGTGTGTAAGTTCTTCATAGCTGCATTGTTCATAATAGCCAAAAAAGTAGAAACAACACAAATGTCTAATTGACAAGTGGAGAGATACAATGTGATATATCCATGCAATAGAATATTATTTGACAAGAAGAGGAATGAGATACTTACATGTTCTATAACATGGAGGAACCTTGAAAATACGCTGAGTGCACGGAGCTAGTCACCAAAGGCCACATATTTTATAATTCCACTTATATCAGATGTCCAGAATAAGCACGTTCAGGTGACTGGCGGCCTGGAGTTGGGAGGGGTGGAATGGAGGGTGACTGTTCATGGGTGTGGGGTTTCTGTTTGGGGTGATGAAAATCTCCTAAAACTGATTATGGCAATGGTTGTACAATTCTGAATGCACTCAAAGCCATTGAATTACACCATTGAAATGAGTGAATTGTATTCTACATGACTTACGTATCAATAAAGCTGTTTTTTGAAACTAAGTTAACATTGGCCAGCAGTAGGCTTTCACAGCACAGTTTGGGTAAAGCTGCAGTAGAAGTTTTGTTGCCAATTGCCTGGGCTCTGTGAAGGCACAGTAGCTGTCCGATGTCACCCATCACCATATCACCCCATCAAAAACATCTTCGATATTTGAGAAGGTAAATTTCAGAGGGGAGGGTTGAGGTGAGCCCTTGTGTTGAGGCTGTGGAGAACTGAAAGCAGCAGCCATGCATGCTCTTTGTGTAGTTTGTGCCCTGGTTACATGGCTGCTCTTACAAAATACTTGAAAGGTGACCAAATAGAAAAGCAAGAGCCTTGGAAAGTTTCTGAGCAGATCTATAGTAAGAGATTATGCTGAGTGCTGTATCATTTTGAATTTACCCCGACAGCCTTGACCTTCCCTAGTTAATCATTGTCATTGCCAGATTCTCCAGACTAACTTGTGGCCATTGAGCAACCAAAACCTTTCCAACTGGTCCCCCTGATCCACAGGCAGCCCCATTTCCACATTAATCCCACTCTGTCTGTCTTCATTTCAGTGAAAGCTGGTGGAATGCGAATTGTGCAGAAACACCCACATACTGGAGACACCAAAGAAGAGAAGGACAAGGATGACCAGGAATGGGAAAGCCCCAGGTGGGACGATGCTGGTGACTTGAGCATGTTTCCCAAAAACCGTATTCAGTTAAACGTTAACATTTGTTCTCTGTTCTATGATTCTGATAACTCCCGGGCTATGTGGGGCCCTGTTCTGTGTATTTTTCCCTTCCTAATCAGGGAGGAGGGGGCTTTGTTCTCAGGGGAGAAGTAGAGCCCCTAGAGGTCCTCTTCCCTGACCAGTTCCCACGAGCCCCCCCTGTTCCCACCCCACATCCAGGGCTGGTGCCCCGTCTGTCTGCACAGTTAGAGACCTACCTCCACCGGCGCAGGTGCCTGGGTGTAGCCAGTGTGCCTTCCTTCCCGGAAGCCAGGGCAGGCCAAGCCAAGCAGGAGCAACTGCCTGTGGCCCCTTCGTTTTCTGATGGTGGACACAGCTGCCCGCCACCCTCTCCCCAAGGCTAGACCACCAGAGTGGACAAAGTAGGCAAATTCTTGCACCTGTGAGTCTTTTGTACTCCAGGTTTCTGTTGTCATTCCAGAGAAACAAATACTAACAATTTCTGGGCAGTAGTTTGCAACTTAGGCTTCCATACTGAAATCACATGGAGACCCTTGAGAACTGCCACACTGGTTGAACCTCAGGGGTGGACCTGTCTGTCTGTGGAGCCGGGGCAAAAACTTCTGATTTAAGAATGGTTAAAGCATTTCCTCCCTCAGATCATCAGCCAGATCTAGAATTACAAGGCCATGCCCTTATGAGGACTGGGTGTCCTTATATGATACCTCTGCTCCCAACCCTCCTGGGGCCTGCACAGGGGTCTCCTTGCAGACCCCTCCTCCCACACTCAACGCCTATTTTCCTTAAAGGTTCAGATTTCCAGTTGGGTTCAGGGAGCTTGAAAGGAATCCCTTTCCCTCGACTTTGCAATACGCAAACAGGCACCACTAACACACCTCTGCAGGAACTCGTCACATAGGAGAAAACACTAGAGCTCTCTACTTATAGCTTGTCTCCAGATGATGTCTCGGCCAGAAGAGGAGAGGGTGTGGAAAGGGAAAGAGGCTGTGGAAAGAAGCTAACCTTGATTCCTGTGGATTAGGTGCATGCTTTTATTTCATTTCATTCCAGCAATCCTGAATAGTAGGTGGTATTCTCCCCAGTTTGTGCACGAGGAAAAAGAACCCCAAAGAGGATATCAGCTTGCCCGTATCATGCATCTTGCTAGGTAATGGAGCAGGAATTTCAACCCAGTTCTCATGCAGTGTTCAGTGGGCTGGGCTTCCAAATGGGTACTTGCCAAGAGCAGGCACCCACATAAGGAAGTGGTACATGTTCTTGGTAACCCTGCCTGTCTGCTTCTAAGTAGCCTTCCGCATTGAGTATTGTCTATAAAACCTCAGACAGTATGAGTTATGGAGCGGCCATGTGAGGGAAGGACAGCATTTTGGGTGACATTTCTGAGTGATTATTAGTGATTATTGTCCATTTTAAATCATGAGATTAGCAGTGTAAAGATTCAGTCCCAGTTCTGGTTTTAAAAGAAGGCAGTTTAAAGAAAGTGCTAGAATTTTCAGGGCATGGTGGCTCACGCCAGTAATCCCAGCACTTTGGAAGGCCGAGGTGGGTGGATCACTTGAGGTCAGGGTTGCGAGACCAGCCTGGCCAACATGGGGAAACCCCATCTCTACTAAAATACAAAATCAGTCAGGCGTGGTGGCATGTGCCTGTAATCCCAGCTACTTGGGAGGCAGGAGAATCACCTGAACCCGGGAGGCGGAGGTTACAGTGAGCCAAGATCGTGCCACTGCACTCCAGCTGTGGCAACAGAACGAAACTCCCATCTCACAAAAAAAAAAAAAAAAAGAAAACACTAGAATTATTTTTCTCATTGACTGTATTCACAAAGCTGTGTTTGGAACATAACAGCATCAGCAACTCTCCTATAAGTTCACAGTTGTCTATCTGAAAGTCTTACAGCCCGGCTTATTTTGGAATGGAGAAATTTGGGGGTTTAGGAGGATAATACTGCTTTTAGGAGAATAAAACCTTGCACATACCACATAGCACCCCCAGTGGGGTCTGAGGCAGCATATTGTAATCTGTATGTGATGTTCAAACCGAATTAGATAATTTTTTTAAATTTAGGGACTCATGTCACTTCAGGTTAAGTTTTGCCTCAGTATAACTTATTAGGAAACCTTCCATTTTCCGAGCATTCTGGAGTTTGGGAATTGAGGCTAAGAGTGTGTAAGCTTGTAGTAATTTCCCTCTAAGAAACCTGGGGTGTCGTTGCCCTTCTTCAGAACCACCTGTTTCCCTAAGGAAGAAAGAGGGCAAGAGATAACGCCTTGCCTGGAAGAAAGAGTCCTGGAAAGTTAATGAAACACATGCTTTTCTTGGTGAGTTTAAGTGGAATAAGGTCCCAACAGCTAGTTCCCTGCCTAACACAGTGTCAATACAATGAGAGGTAGGAATTTATTAGCAAGTTTAGAAATAAGGACAGAACAGCCCACTAGTTTTCTTTGTATTGATTTTTTTCATGAGTTGAAATGTAGCTTTTCTAGAAGATGAGCAATTTAAATAAATAAGCCAGAGGATGAACGGTTGAAGAAGAAAGATGGAGCACCCCAGCACTGTAGATTGTAGCATCTTATTTACCTTAAAGATTTGTTCTCTATCTCTAGAGAACCAGATATTTTGAAGCAGGCCCACTGCAGGGTATGGTTTGCAAAGCACATCAGCAAGGCTTTTGTTGATATTGTTCCCTGCAGCCAAATTGCTAGGATACATTCCTGATGAGTGTGTTAGCACTTGTCCTCTTGACTTTGGCTTGGCTGTTTACTGCTGTGGGTTAAACAACTTGACACAGCATTTACAGAATGGGGTAAGCCTGTGTATACTCTTCAGCTATTGATGTAAGGTGCCAAAATAGCCCTTTCTAACACACTCCACCAGGCCTGGTACTCTGTGTAATAGTTTACTTTTACCACCGTGCACTCGCACTCCCCATTTCTCTGGTGGGCTGATTGAATAATCATAATTAATCATCATCATCACTCATTCTTACAGAGTGCAATGAGCTTGGCCCTGTTCTAACTGCTGTGTTCATATTAATTCATTTGGTCTGTGCTACTACTCACTTTGTCATCATCCCTATCTCAGAGCCGGTTATTATTGGCCATTACTCCCATTCTGAATTACTACTCTCTCTTCAACAGCTCTGAGAGTGAAGTGACTTTTCCAAGGGCACATGGTAAGTGGCAGCGCCAGCATTCCAGCGCTGGTGGCAGTTTCCGGATTCCCTACGCTCCTCCACAAGGCTTTGCTTATCCATTGAGCTCTTGTTTTTTGCTGGGCACTTGCTAAGTGCTTCACGTTGGATTTAATGCTCACTGCACCCATAAGTTGGTATTACTGTGCCCATTATAGAGGTGAAGAAAGCAAGGCTTAGGGAGGTTTCCAACCTAATGATATGTAATCAGTCATTGGCCTGGCCAGGGTTTAGCCTTGAGTCTGTCTTGATTTGGAAGCCCTTGCCACTGATATGTCACATAAGTCCCTGGAGCCACAGAGACTACAATCCTGATCTCTGTGTAAATGAAACTCATTGATTCTGGGGTTGCCCATAACCTTGTCTATGCTCCTGAAACCCATAATCCTACCCTTTTCATGCCTCATCATCAGTAGATGCTCAAATTATCACTTTACAGTAAGGTTTCAGGGGACTGGACTGGTTTTACTTTAGGTATGGAAAAGCCTACTTACTTGCAGAATGTATAAAACACTTAATTATCCTCTTGGAAATGTCTTATGGCATATGTGACTTTCCTATCCACATTACGCTGATCCTAAAATTTTATTTTGATCCCAGTGTTGTTCAGATATGAAAATGAGTACCTAACACCAAATGCCAGTTTCCTCCTTAGCCGTAGATGTACATTTGCAACACTTCCTTTTCCTTGCCAGACATTTAAGACTAGTTTTAAATTTACTGAATCATCTCTGGTGGCTTCCTTCCCCATTAATTGGAAAATCAAGTACTGATTACAGAGAAAAGGGACAAATGAAAGATTAAAGATGTTATTGTGTTGACAGGAAAAAAAAACCTGAAACTTTTACTAGTAGTTATTTTTCTTGCAATTGTTTATGCAACTCTTATTCCCTTGAATCTTGTAGCTTTCCACAGACTTAAACATAATTTCTTATGCTTCCGAGTTGTTTTGAGATGCTGTGTTAAAAAAAAAAATAGAGCCAAAATGTGAAAATGCTGCCAAAGAATTTCCATCAACCTGAGTTCTAGTTACTGGTGGCTCTTCATGTCCAGGAAGAGTAATAGCCTTCATTATTATTAGCTAATACTTCCCTGTGTGGCTGCTTGGTTCCATCTCAGAGCTGACCCAATTAAGGAAAGTGGTGGTTTTCAAGCCTTTTGTCAAGTGTCATAGATGAAGTAGCCAGTTTCATTATGTAGAGACCGCAGACATAGAATGGACTTCAAGAGTCAGGGTTCACTACAGAAAACAGTTGAATGTCAAACAGTTACTGACATTCTGCCATAAACTGGGCTTGGTACAAGATATTAAGAAGGAATGGGTAACAGAAGGGGTAAACCAGAAAAGAACAGGTTTGGTCACTGACAAGTGGTGGATGGGAAAGGGGTGGAAGGAAGGGAGAAACTGGAATGGGGAATAAGGAACAGTTCTTCCCTGAGCTTGGCTTTTTGCATAGTTCTGACCTAGAACCACGGCACTGTTTCACATACCTGACGAGTAAGCCAACAATTCACATCAACCAAGAGGTGGGAGGGACCCAAAATGGCACACAAGCACCGACGGATTGAAGGGAATGGGAAATGCAATTGCTTGATGTAACCAAATTGAGGGGGGTGGGGAGTTATTAAGTAACTTTGGAAAACAACATTTTTAAGTGGTTACTATAAGGCCAAAGACAATAAAGAACTATGCATAAATGGTGTATTTCAGTTAGTAAACAGGCTTCTTAAAGGGCATGGTTTGGCAATTCTGAAATTGCCTTA